GAAATGAATCTTTTGCAGTGGAGTTTGGTAGATTCAGTCCTTGGTTTTTTTAATCCATTTTAATACCCCCATTTATTATACATTGTAATGCTCAAATTTAAGTGCCATATACCCAAACAATGAGTAGAGTGTGTTGTTTGTAACTTTTGTGGAGAACGATCCAGCGAAAATATGTCCTTCAGACTCATTTCCTGGAATCGGGTCACAATGCAAAGTTAAAGGTTTGATGTTAAACTTTCCGTTTCCATAATCTCTGTGTTAGGGCTTTCCAGCCGAGTTTTCCATGTATCTGAACTATGCACGAGGACTGCGCTTTGACGAGGGGCCCGACTACATGTACCTGCGGCAGCTTTTCCGTATCCTGTTCCGCACCTTAAACCACCAGTATGACTACACCTTTGACTGGACCATGCTGAAGCAGAAGGTGGCCGCGCCCCCCAGTCACCCAAGCACAGCCAATCACATGACAGCTCAAGGCACGCGCCACTCAGAGAGCAGGAACATGAGCCGGCGCTGAACCGTCATGAGCTTTGCATTGCCCAGTGCGCAGGCGACCTCCGTTCACTGGGGCACTTTGATGCTGACGTGCACTGTCTGAGTGGGTACAAAGTGTGGTGATGAAATCAAAAGCATGCGGAATTGCCACATTGAAAGAAAGCTAATGACTTCAAATTCTCGCACACCTTGTCATGTGCATACTGACGGCTCTGGAGAGGACTTTTTTTAATCGACAAATCACTACCTTGTGATTGTGAAGAGAAATGTATCGTGGGCAACACTTTGGAATGGACAATCGTTCAGTTTGTTCCTTGATAACACTTGAATATTGTGTCATTTGTACTGATGTAATCTTGGATGGATTCCATGCGCCATGGTCTCTACTCTATTTTGTGAATATTGTAAATTATTAAATAACATTGTAATGCACAAGCAGCCAGATACGTCCCAATTTCAAAGAAATTTTTGCTGGAGGGAATTGAGTGATATATGAAGAACGCAACTTGACCAAAATTGATTAACTGAGGGTTGGATTTTACTTTCCTTCATTCTAGACGATAACCTTTTGGCATTTACATAACGGTGTTATAGTTTTAAGTTTGGAAAAGTACCATGATCTGTGAATTGCATTCTTTCAATCACGCTTTTTTTAAGAACATTATGTAGGGTCAACAGTTTAGTTTCTGAAAAAAAAATGAACACAGGACTCTAAGTATTTACAGGATTCTCCAGTTTATTTTCCTGATTCAGCTCCAAAATGTAGATTCATTTTTGTGTTATTCTCTTGTAGATTTTTTTTTATATCTTTTGGATGAAAAAAAATGGGTGCTCTTTTTTGGATCTGTAAATCTTTTATTGAGAACATTAGAGCCAAATCCAGCATTCCTGTTAGATTTTTAGCAGGAGAATATGTCAGGGAGTGGTACTGGGGAGGAATTGTTACTGGTTTTTTTTTATTACGCAGATGTTTCAAGCAGACATTTGCAGTAGTTCACACTGCATGAAGAAGCATGATTTGTATTTTGCAGATCACAATTCCTTACGACACGAAATAACTGCATGCTGTCCGTCTGCAGAATGGCGTCCACAGCAGTGGAAATATGGAGCTTTATGTGTACATACTTACGCACATTTTGCATGTGTCAGTGCAGCCGTGTAAATACACTTGTCTGTGGTAATATTTACGTCCCAAAACTAATGCCAGAAAAATAGCTGAGTATATTGACCGCTTTTATCAATTACGGTTGATGTTGGAACTTGTGTATATTTAATGCGGTTAATTTTTTCGCCTGCAATACAGTAATTACTTTTACAAGTATGTTATGTTCCATTGATACAGTGGGGTTCAAGAAAATTGAGGCCTTGTTGGCATTTGAGATCGGGACGAGACAGGTACATGTACAATTAAACTTAAATACCTCCATTACTCATTTACTTATTTCCCATTTCTTATTTCCTATTTTCACATTAAACCCAATCTTGACTTTTTGTTAATTACTGCTATTATTACATTGTATTGTTATTTTTTATTTATTTTGTTATGTTTTGTGTTTTGTTTTGCGGGAGGACTAGCTGATAATTTTTTCAATGCAATAGCTTGTACATGTGAGCGGATACTCATAATTTAACTTTGCCAAAATGTATGTGATCTCATGAAGCAGTGCATAGCTTCACTGTGAAGAATCGACAGGATTTTAAACTTTATAATTACGGCACTTTTTCAAAATGGTGGTCCTGTGTGTGTTGTTTAGAGGGAGCTGACCAAATACTCTTTTTATGCGTACAAATTGTTAACTGTCAGAAATTGGTTTGAAGAACTTCATTGACGGAGCATGATTTCCTCTACGTACAATGTGTAAGAACCACCCAAGTTAGCTAATGTGGTTTTGATTAACATTACCTTTAGACTAGGAGCAAATTACTGCAATACTCAACATCTAAAAGTGCACGGCACTAACTACATGTAGTTAACTATCCCTCGATAGCAGAGACTGATGAGGCGTCGTGACTTTCATCGGGTGAGATTTCTCTGCTTTAGAGCTGTTTTCACATTTTGTTGGTTAGTATTTCAGCTTTTTTTCCCTCACTGGCTGTGTACAAAAGTATAGGGGACTTTCACAGTTCAGCTTTTTTATGCCCTTTTTCAGATGATTTCAGCTATTTTTATCATTGTTCAATCTCAACCCTGTTTAATGCGCCCGTTACTCACGTACGTGCAACGAACCTTCTAGGCGAAGCGAGTAGAGACTACACACTACAGAATTATGAGCACGCACACATAACATGTACTCGACACGTGTAGTGTCTACGCTATTCGCCTGGCAGCACAGCTGCTCGGGAAAGCGCAAAATGCAGGGCCTGAGGCCGTTTTCCAATACTCGACTTGGGCTCCGTCTCGGGCTTCAACTGTTTTTTACTTCCTGACTTTGAGGTTGTAAACACAATAGCAAGTCTCATAGTGCCACAACACATCAAGTAAGATGCAAAAGAGCCAAACATTACAGTATTTCAATTTAAGGTAAACGCTTCAGGCCCATAATCGAGGACACCAAGTTGAGTATTGGAAAACGGGCTAATTAGTGTGACTTTTTGGGAAGGCTGGCGATGTTTAATAGTCCAACATCGCCAGCCTCCCGTAATGTCCGTAAATGCAGTTTCATCAATGTTGGTTTTCAACATTGATGTAAACCATTCAGGTGAGCGTTCTACCTGAAATTGTGGGACTGCAAAGATTTATTTAAAATTGGCAATTGTGGCTGCGGTTATCTTAACTACAGGTATATAATTGTATCTTTGTCGGTTGGCCACAGGGAACTCTGTGACAATAGTGTATACTCCCGGAAGCGCTTACAATGTATTTCGTCCCACCAGTTGTCCTGAGTTCGGAGTTTGATTTAACTTTCTAAGTTGAGTACGCCTGTGTAAATGTTACAGAGTGCTAACAATGAGCATTCGTAACTTTCATTCAGAATAAAATATTTGCCATAATTATCTCTGTGAATTTGTCTGTAATTATTAGTGTGAAAGATTAAAAAACAAAATACGTGTACCAAACATTTTCCGTCACGTCACCTCAGCGATTAAAGTTTCACTTTTGGCGTTGGGCTTGGCCACGATACTGCGGTGGGTAAAATAGACCAGAACGTGAAAAGTCGTTCGTATTGCGTATTCAGGTTTTGTCTTAGGTGGGGTAGAAAATTTTCAATTTTCAGCATGAACACAGTCGTCCATTTTCCCCTTCTTAAAATAATTCTCACAAACACCTCCATGATGACAGGTGGTCATGTCGCTTTCAAAGCCAACACTCGCCCGGCCGTTACGCCAAGAGTCGTTTGTCTTGATTAACTGTTGATGTAGACAAAAATTCTATCATGCTGTTCACTTTTCACTGAGAACATTGTGACTACACAAAATGAAGGAAGCTCGACGCACGAAATGTACTATTAGACCAATTAAGCATAATTTAATGTAACCAAATTAACTTATTACACAAATCACGGTGAGATGTGCCCCGTGGACAGGCTGACGACCACAAGTGGGCCACGCCCGTCGCCTTCAATGTTAGCTTTGAGCCTTAATTTATGCAAAGTCACATTCTACGCTAAATAGCTTACATAACACTATTTATGAAGAACTGAAATAGGTGAATTTGACCAAAGGTCGTGTTTATTACAGTTACCGCCCACTGAGTTGGCAATTGTGTGGCGTTGCAAATGGACTATACCCGAATGCTGGACATCACTTACGATGCCCACTTGTGCTGCATGCGTGCGCGTGAGGCATGCTTAGACTCGGACGAGTGTCTACTTTGTGATGAAAACGTGGCCTTTTACAGTCACGTTATTTTATCTTCTCACTATCACTGATCACGTGTCTTTGGGCAGTAAATTTTTAAATCGTTGGTTATTTTGATCAATTTTGGATGAACTAATGACGGTAGCGAGAATTGGTAACCGCCACATTGAGCATGCTCGCGCGCCTGGCGGAAACGTACCCACAGTGCTCTGCCCGTCGCAAAAGCTGTGACCCCGTGTGGTATATTTCCTTCACAAAAATTTGTGCAAGGCCCTCAGCCATTCCCAGCGCCCTGTTCGAGCGCTTGGTGACGAGCGATTTTATTTCAAAACACTCCCTCCTTTGTTCCTGCTCGGAGCGGATCCTTACGTTTTTGAAATTCATCCAGAGCCAAAAATTTGCTCTGCGTGAATGCAGTGGCGTAACAGGGTACATATTGGAGGGGGTACTTGGGGTCCTTGTTTTTAGAGGGCCGCCACTCAGTGGGTTTGGTCACACTTAAAACACTGATCAAAGCGCACTATCACCTGATTTTTCCTCCTAGAATATTTTAGTCTAAGCGAATGCATAGCCCAGCCCCTTAAGCGGCGGGAGTCGTGCCTCCATTCCCCTTAGTATTATACGCTACTGCTCAGTTTACACACATCTTGCTAGGGTCACGCCTATGCTACGCATCGAGTGTGCGCTGGGCAAAGTCAACAGACCATCTCCTTCGTGAGCGCGTACCACTCTCCTCTTACACTTATAGGGGTGGTTGTCTTCAAGAGATTGCAACGCGCAACGCGTTGACCAATCACAGTCACGGACGTATTTTTAAAAAATCTGGATTCGCAATGCCCTAAATCAGCTTATGGAGATTAATGAATTCACTCGCAGCCATTTTACCATTTTACAAGCATAACAGAGGTTTATCCAAAGTGTGACAACTGAGTTCGGACGATGCCCCTTTTCAAGACAATGGTGTTCAGTCATGCATGACAGGAGGGATACCACAAGAGGTATCATTAGAACGAATACTGCTTCTACTTTTCAGAGATCCTTATACATTATTATCATATCTTATGGTTTGGGCATATTAACCCCTTTCCTCGGGGTTTGGTTTTTCCGGAATACCGTCCTGTATAATTTGTTGTTTCAGACTCGCTATTAGTTTTTAATTGACGTGGACACATCATCCGTCGTCTCATGTTACTGTTCGGCAGCATAATGTACCACGTTTTGACGGCTAGGGTCTGTTTGTTTCATACGGATCTGGGTCTCGATCAATGATCTGAAAGCTGGTTTGCGCTATCCACGAGGCAGGTTCTGGTGTCGGTGAACCAGTGTCGGATCACTGATCGCGATCCAGATCCGCGTGGAACAAACAGGCTACGAGTCATCAGTAATTTGGGGTTTTTTAGGGCTTGTACAGGAGGAACACACTGACTGCGCATTTGCGAAGCGGGTTCCAGTCCAGGCGGAGTTGCTCCTGATATCGCTTCAGGTCACGGTAATCCTCCCGAAGTAACAAGGTTTCGGTGTTGCCGTGCCACTGCCCGAGGATTTCAAGCCCAGCTGGCTTAGCAATGTCTCGCAGAAGTGTCTTATTTTGGGTCTTGGGCATGAAACTCAACGACGAGGCTCTGTCCACGTAAGCCTCATCCTTGTTGTCGATGAAGAGCACAGCCGCCCCTCGCTTCATCTGCTTCAGAAGTTTCGCCACCGCACATTGCCTAATGTCGCGGCCGTCCCGCATGAATGCAACGAACGCGGAGAACGACTTGATCATGGTCACCAAGTCGGCCTGTCGGATCTCCTGCTCCATGGCAGCCGTCGGCAAGTCAGCCAGAAGGTCGCAGGCGATATACTTACAATATATTTGGCTCTTTTTAAGCACGGAATTACTTTCCCGAATAGCCAACCAGGCCCCGTTCCACGCCGTGGCAAACTTGTCGAGGACATGCCCGACGACGCGCTCGCAGGCCGGTTTGCCGAGATAGGACCTCACGGACTGGAGATAGACGAGAACCCCGATGACATCGGTGCCCGGGCCTCCTCCGACGGAGCAGACATCAACGCCTCTCTCCAGCCACCGCTTGGTAATGTCGAACGGCAGTAGTAGCCAGAGCATTTGATAAATGAGGTGGCAATGTTTTGTGAGGTACTGATACACATAAGCCCATCGGTACGCAGCATCCGCGAAATCAGGCTGCGGGATTTTATGCGCCTTACCCAGATTCGTGTATGTCATGGACATACGGCGAAGAGCATCGGCAACTCGCTCCTCCGCAGACTGAAACTGCTCAAGCCCATCACCTCTGCCCGCAGTGATGTTCCTTTGAAGAGTAAGTAACGCACTGATGACTATTTTTGGTAGGAGGGGAGGTGCCATGGGATTACAAACGGCAACAGCTCGAGTCCTGTCAAAATCGGCAGGCATGACGGTTGAGGAGTTGCGGTTCCTTGCCATTTTTTAAATGCCAGTCCAAGTGAGCTCAAACTGTCTGTTCGAAGAAACATGAATAAATGCATTATGCCTAACTCGGTTAAATCTTAACCTTGACACAACGTGACAAAGCAACAGATTTCTCACGGCAATAAAATGCGTCATACAGGAAACATGACTACTTTTCACTAGGGTCCAACTTGTGCTTCAGTATTATACTGTTTATTTTCACCGTCTTGATTATGGTTTCCATTAATCAATTCGCCGCGTCTCGATTTTGTCCTGGTGTAATGCGTGTTCATAATTTAAACGCCACTTTAGTCTAGGTTGGAGACGTGTTATTCGCTTCCTCAAGTGGAAAATGACAATGGTGTGAACAAATCCTGAAATATCGACAATTCGAAAATCGAAGGACAGGTGATCGACTTGAACATCTAACACTTGTAGTTATAGGCCTATTGTGTTACCCTGCAGAGAAGAAATACAATCAAGATATAATGCATTTTCCCCCAGTGTGTGGCACTCTCTCTGAAATTTAGATGATTCGTTAATTTTATTTTGTCCTGTTCAGGGGCTTGTACAGGAATTTTCCCGCGGGCGGTTCAGGCTGAAGATTTTGTTTTAATGTCTCATTTTTGCAGACGAGTGGAAACAATGATAAAACATTTTATGGCATTGTTTACAATGGTATTGGTGCACCCACATTAGTTATTCTTTTTAATTATCATTTTTTCAACTTTCCCCCTTTCCTTTTTTCGGGGGGTCGACCCCCTTGGTTCCGCGCACCTGTATGTTCACTTTTATCCATTTGAAAATCATTATCGTCACATTTTGAGTTTTCGGAAATACCCTGGCAGGAAAAGGTTGTCAAATCAACTAATATTGTAGATGGCCTACTTTATAATGGAATACCAATGAGGTAGGCACGCTCCCAAGTTCTATGCACTTAATAACGTGAGATCTCGACCCATCCGGTGACTGGGAAGATTGTCACGAAACTGATGAAACCTCAGAATCCATCTGAGGTGGTTGCCTGTCCAAAACGCATCCCAAGACGAATGATTTAAATAACTGGTATGACAAACTAACGGTGCGGCATGACGAGGCGGGAATTAACCGCTTTGATCTGGCCTGTAATTTTTGTAAGGTTACACAGGGGTGATAGAATGATATAATAGCAAATTTGTATTTGGGCCCATGATAGCAGTAGACTCAACTGTAGTACTACTGAGATGTTTTTTTTTTCAAGACTGAATGCGCGCCGTTTGGGCTCAGTCGAGGTGGACATGCACGATCACGACTTACCAATCTTGTTGAGGAGTAATAAAGCCAATAAATGGTGACTGATAACTTTACTCTGAGCAAGGCACGGTGATGGAGCACAGTATCTATTTCACACTCATAGAAAAAGATTAACGTCTGCAGGCCTGCATACGGCTTATGAGTTGTTAAAGCACCGATACATGTGTATTTCTCAATGCACGCGAAAACGGGGATTCCCGGAAATATATCATTGCATTTCTGAATTTCATTCCTGACACATGTGCAATGTTTCGATGCGTAACGAATGCCCCCCCAAAAAAAAAAACCAAAAAAAAAAAATAACCTAAGGGTGCTCTCTTTCATTCGAATGTCTCCAATGAACCAGTCAATTGTTGTTTTCAACCCCACCCCCCGTGCGGTACTCGTCGCCCCCTTTTTCAGGGCTCTCGAATTTTGAAATTAATGGTGGCGCTGTTCAAAACTACTGCAGTGAGCACGCGGCGTTACACGGTTGTTGGTGCAGTGCTCGCATGTACAGTACATGTACAGCAGTTGACATGACCACAACACATAAACAAGTCGCAGCTCTGAAGATAGCCCAATTGGGATATTTGTCGAATATACGAACAGTTTGCAACTAGACGTGATGTTTGTATGCGAAAACAGGAGCCCAACAAAAATATCGTGAGTACATTTCGTTGTTCACTGCGAGGATGCCGACACTATCTTTTGTGAGTAAATTCGTCTTGTTATTGCTTATTCGATTCGGTATTCGAAACCTTTACCATTCGTTTTGTAATTATTTCTGAGGTTTTGTTGTTAACAGATCATCTCAGCCCCAGGTAACAAAAAGTTACCATCGGCATTGCATCATCACTGATAATTTCTCATGATATAGACTAAAATAACTAGGTCTATGCCACGTACATGTAGCGATGTACATGATTTACTAACGCAGGTTGCACTTTCCCACCTCTATGTTGTGAATTAAATATGATGGACCTTGCGCAAATTCATTGTAGGGCGTACTTTATCCTGAGTTGATTTGCTTTGAATATTAACACCCATTCAAAGGACAATCAACTAAAAAGGGAGTGCAAAAAATTCACAGACTGCTAGTTTTTTACTTCCAGTTTTGTCACTCCATCCTGATCACTGGAGCCTAGTACAGATGTTACCAGACAGATGGAGTTTGGTTTTATCACTCAGACTTCAAATTGCTCACAACCTACATTCTTATTTTGTATTTTTGTTACAGATCAAGGGATAGAGTAATGCAGTCACACAAACACATCTGTCTGTAGTGCTCGCCATGGCTCGCCCTGTGGAGTTTGGAACCAAATGTATGCATTTGTGACACAAAATGTCATCTGAGATGCTTGTTGATTACTAGCATGAAGTATTGAGATTCTGGACGAGCCAGCACCATGGACATGTGCATATTTTGCGTTCAAAAGTTTAAGATGTTACACCGCTTCAGGTGTTTGCTGTGATGTTAGGAGTATGCCAGGACTCATTGTTTTAGAGGCTTTGCAGACAAATAAAAAAGGAAACACCACTGCAGATGTTTAAGCAGTTTGAATTTAAGTTCTAAGAATTTACACATTGGCATTTGAGACTGGACAAGTTTGACCAAAATGTCCGACTCGGAAGGCGAGGGACCCCAGCAAGAGAAGCAGCTGAAGATTGTCATCCTAGGAGATGGTGCATCTGGCAAGGTACATGTGGACTCGTCTGCATACATAGGTCATTGTGCCCAACACTTCAGTACTTTTGCACACAAATGCATACCACTATCAGTCGGTCATGCTATTTAGCGTCAACAATGCGTCAACAACTTGAAAATACCTTCTGCAGATTTAAAAGTGGTATGATTATTTTTAGAGGCTCTAACACCTGCCACTGTGTAAGAGAAACATCAAATTTGCTTTCAGATTCTTGCAGGAAAAAATTTTGGCAATGTATGGGGGCTGCAATCTTTCTTTCCTCTGCTGTCCATGCGAAAATAAGATGGCGGCCGGTCGGACTGCACAAACAGGCTCGACTTTGTCTTTCAAATTTTAACACTCGGGTATCATTTCAGATAGATATAATACATTGAATTTGATATGTACATTGTAGGATCCTAATTTACATTTTATACAAAAATTGCTTGAATAACTTGTTGACGTTTTGTTGATGCTCATTGATGCATGACGCCTATCAGTAAAGGCATACAGGGTATGCCGTTACCACTGTCCATTTTTTAACATGCCCTGATTTGTGTGGAGTGATTTCTCTGTAAATTTTTTGGAAAGAGTTTCATATACGGACCACACTACCGGGGTAATTATCCCTTAAACTGTTACAACAGCCATCAGAAAGTGAAAACACTTGGGTTTTTTCAGACAAGTCTCGTTGGTTTGTGCGTAGCGTCAAGAAGTGTTGTCTGTATATGGAACTCTTTCCATATTTTTAGTGCAACCTCCAGATGAGATGTTTAGCTGTGTAGAAAGATAAAGTTCACTGACAGCATCTTTGAACATGTATGTCAACTGTACAGTGTTCTCGAGATAAAAAGCAAAGAAAATGAAACCGTTACACCTTGATGATAGGAAAATATATACAAGTATATACATATATGTAGCAACTTCTTGTCTGCTAGAATTATGGTGTCCACATTGCAAGGGCAACTTACACGAGGATACCAGCCTGAAGAAAACGTCGGTCAAACGTAATCACTAAAATTATCCCATGACCTGCACAAGGTAATCCTTGCCCGGGTGCTGGAGAGAATGTTAATGGTATATCAATTTTCCTTCCCTGTCCAGACATCGTTGGCTACCAGGTACTCCCAGGATCAATTCGGGAAGCAGTACCAACAGACTGTTGGCCTGGACTTTTTCCTGAAAAGGATAGTTCTTGGAGGTATAACAGTGGGCTTCATTTAGGATATACATGTATGTCTAATCAAACTATGATCCCCAAAGCTGAGGTCGGAAAGGGTTCCATACACGGGTGCCATTTGACATCCCGTGCACAAACCCTTTGAGAGTGGTCTGAAAAGTTTTAAGTGTTTTCTCAGCAAATGACTTCGTATTTCCCTCCTAAATTGAACGTTTCTGGACTTGTTTTTGCTTTCTGATGTCTAGTAGGTCACTGTAGGAAATAACTACTGCCATCCATGTATGGAACTCTTCCCCTGAAGTGTCTATGGTGTACATATTAGTCACTGTGAAATTTAGCCCCTAAAAGGATTTTGGGTAATTGCAGGATTTGTCTAAGAGAATGGCAATTAGTACCGCAGAGAAACGGAGGAAGTGGGTAGCTTACTTACATGTATGTGATTAAAATACATGAAAGTAAAAGAATATTTTCTTCCTCTATTTGTCTTCTTTTCCTCTTCTTATTTTTGGAGGGGCATTTGGTTCCACCCCAGCTTTCTGAAATGCTGGTCCTATCTAAACTTTTTGACTTCCACTGCTTCCACAGAAGACACTCATGTAACCCTACAAGTGTGGGACATCGGGGGGCAGACGCTAGGTGGTAAGATGCTGGACAACTACATCTATGGAGCCAAGGTTAGGAGCGGGGCAGTTCCTCCAACTCTGAGAAACGTTTAAGTCAAATATACTGCAAGACATCAATGAAAATCTGAAGAAGATTGAGATTAACAATAACACATCATGTTGACATGAGTGAAAATGTACGTTTAGTTACATGGCGCATTTGCATGCAACAAATGCTTGCAGAAGCTGTTTCAAGTAGAAGGGACTGATTTGGAAGTATTATTTCCAATTTATAAATACCTCAGACAGTCTCCCTATTCAACAACGTGCAACTTGACCGTGTATTAACATTTGATAACGCCCACTGAGCAGTGATAATGCCCACTGCGTAAATCACGCGCTGGCTCCTGGATACAAGACAGTTTAATCGATTCTGATTGGTCAAGAGGCTGTGCGCACACGATTCACCATGCACGTGACAATTGGACAATTTGCACAAGGAATATTCCATAAAATGAATGGGGGTGTTCAGGAAAATGAAAGTAAAACTCTAGAACAATATCTCTGGAAATCTATTTTATGTTGACATCTTTTGACTCTCTGACTAAAAAGGTATTTATGAATGGGAAGAAATATGTGCTTGGCCGGTCTCAAACTAACGTTTAAGACCTTGCTCAGGAGACTCAACGCTGACAATACCCTCACCTGCGGCTTGGGCATAAGTCATGTTCATTGTCCTGAGCCCATCTTAAACACATGTTTAAGATCAGCCAGGAACCTATCAATTCCCTTAGTAATTTATCAAGATTTTAGGGTAAACATGTCATTTGGTCATTCTCATGATTACTTATAATGGACCCGACATCATTAAGAGAATCTATGCTTTCTGAATATCCGTCACCATTGCCGATCTGTTTGTATTGTTTGCATCTCTGTCAATCTTAGTATTTGGCATTAGAAAAAGGGTGCGTCGTTGCACCAGTTTGTAGGTTTGTTATTAAAAGATTGCTAATTCAGAACCAGCTGGATGAAACCGATTTGCTTGCTCTTGAAATTCCACAGGGGGTGCTGTTGGTGTACGACATCACCAACTACAGCAGTTTTGAGAATATAGAGGACTGGTATGCTAAAGTCAAGGAAGTATTCAAAGACCAGGAACGGTTCCCTCACATAGCTCTGGTGGCAAACAAGAGTAAGTCTGGTGCTGATTCAGACAATGCAGCCATGTAATGGTACTGTTGCAAAACTTGGTTCTTGACTAAGCTTACATTTAATTTCCTGGGCATTCTTACATGTCTTACTAGAAAGTTTTCTGGGCCCTCCGAAGTCCTCAACTGTGCAGGAAACCAACGGTAAAGCCTTGAGCATCTTGCAAATTGAAAGTGACTTGGTTGTTCCTGTCTCAGTCTCACTCTATTTCATTAGTACTTAAACCCTTGACCATCAAGCCCTACATGTACATTTATGTTGAGTAGAAACGACTGGGCTCCTCCTTCCTCAATCCAATCCTTCAAAAACCTCCAGATGGATTCTGTATGATTGAGTGGGCTAGGATTAGGGAGGGCGAGAGGGTCCTCTGAATGGTGCCGTGGGGTCCTGTGTTCATGGAAGCATGTGGGATGGCAAACAGCATGCGCATGATAGTTCTACAGACCAATTAGGGCAGAGTAGAGTGAGCAGTTTTCAACTACCTGAGCATAGGCTCACATGATCTTTGTCTGAGGGAAACACTCCTGAGTAGCTTGAGCATGAGTGCTTCCGGAAAAATGCTGCTACTCACCGATCCCTCCAAAGTCCATCACAGGCCCTCCAGTCTTGCACCAAGCCGCAAGCTTTTCAAATGAAATGTGACAAAAGTGTTCCTTTGCCATTGTTCATCCCGTAACTTGTTTGGGACTTACAAATAGACACATAAAGGGAAATGGCTTGACTACAATCTGAGTTTTTGTAACATGTAAAAAGACCAGTTAGACAAACTGAAAATCTTTTGCCTCGTCCCCTATCTCAAATTATGTTGAAAGCAGGTCTCTGTATCCCACTTACAAAAAAACAAAATGCGTTCAGCTTGCACAGAATCTACTTGTATCTAGGGCTGAGTCAATTCAAATATTTGACTATTTGAATATTAGACCTTCAATTTGATCAAATATTTGGTTGTACCAACCGGCAGATTGTTGATGAACAAACCACATACAAAATCAGTTGCAGTAACGCACACAATTGTACATTATGATCAGTATAATAGCTTTTCACATTTAGGAGTATCTCCAGCCATGATTTAGCAAGATTTAAGAGATAAGCAAGACTTATAGCCCTGTCGAAAATTTTTATTCCTTTTAAATTGTTTAATGAATAATTTACTTTTTAAATCATTGTAAGATTTCTCATGCTTTTCATTTGAATCTGTTTGAAACAAGCCTCCATAGTGGAATTTTTCTCATTTAAAAAAAGAAAATTTTCCGTTCCTTTTCTTGAATTTTGCATTTGAACATTCAAATTAAAAAAAAAAAAATTTTTGACAATCAATCAAATATTTGGTTATTTGGATATTCGGGACAGCCCTACTTGTATCATGAGCTTTATTTGGGTACGAGGCACACAAGGGTCTTTGCAGTTGTTAATATTTTCTGATCAAACCAGTTGATCTGATTTTCTCAGTGGATCTAGAGCACATGCGGGCAGTGAAGGCAGACAAGCACCAGCGAATGGTTCAGGACCATGGCTTATCCAGCCACTTTGTGTCTTCAAAGACGGGGGACACGGTTAGTTCTCAAAGTCAAAAGTCAAAACAGCCCGTGAATTTCAAACCAGAGTCTCTTTGTTGTTTGCTTATGTACATGTCTGGAGCTAAGGTGAAATCGGTCAAAACATTGGCATCATCCTTGTGTACGTGTAACATGTATATTTGAATTAAAAAGCGCAAGGCTTGATGCCACTTTTTTTAAGCATTTCAACACTCACTCTGGGATGCACTCGGAGCTTGTGTTGCCTTTTCAGCTCAATCCTGACAGTCATCCATCGTCCAATCACAATACCTTATATGGAAGACAAATGAGGTCACCAAATGTGCCTTTCATAGCATAAACTAAATTGCAAATATGCAAAAATGCCTTGGACAGCAGTTCTTTGCTCAGATTTTATGAAACAGTTAACAATGTTCAAATGACAAGTTTATGGAATAATTTATAATTGAGATGGAAAACCTGCCGCGAGTCACCTTAACCTCTTCGCTACAGAGGACTGCTACTTCCGCACTGTTTTGTGAGGATTAGTGCTTACCACACATACAGTCTATTCACCATGCAGCTGCTGGTTCAATGGGGCCTGCTGCTGGACAAAGCCCTCCAATCATGGCATACCACAGCCCAGCAGTCCTGTCAAAATAATCCGGCCCTGAAGGGGTTAAGAGGTAGCGTGTTTACAACTTCTGCTTTTTGTTTGTTGGTGTTCACCATCTGCAGGTTGACCTTTGTTTTCAGAAGATAGCAGCTGACATCCTTGGTGTCAAACTAACGCGAGCAGAAATGGAGCAGGCAAATGTATCCTTACCAGTTGTACATGTATCTACTGCAGAAAATTAAACATTCTTCATTGTTCCTTCTTTCAAATAGAAAAGGTGGGGAAAAAAATCAGTGCCAATTCCCAAATGTTGGTCACTTTGCCTTAACCTTTAGCCTCATCAGAGGGTTGTGAAAGCCGAGGTGGTGAACTACAACAATGATCCATTACCCAGACCCCCTTCCAACCAGACAAGGAGTTCAATGTGCTGTGTCATGTGATCCCATAAAGCATGCCCACCAAGATGGCTGATCCACGCTCTGCACAATTTGCACATTGGACACAGCCAAAGTCAACATCCTTTGATTTGGGTCGTCTGTACCTCTGGAAATTACCATTGGTGTCAGCTGTTGGACAACCAGTGTCTGCAGATTAAATAACCCTACTTGACTTTGTCGTGGTTCTAAGCATCTCTTGGGTGAAATTTTCATCATCCGGACTCTTAAGAGTGCTGCTAGCTTAAAGGATCCACCCTCTGTGATTTGGAGCTCACAATCTGCAGAACGCATCTCCATTTGATATTGATTGCCTTTTCACTGTTCTGACCAAACTGGTCCATGATTGCGGTATGCTCTCTATGAATTCTTTGTGTGTATCTCGCTTGAGACGTCAGCACAGAGAAGAAATTTTGAGGTTGTGCGAATCCAGTTCACTCACAAGTTGTGGAAATGACTGCCGATGACCACAATGGGTTGCTACATACATGTACGTGTAGTTACATGTGTGAACTGTACAGCACAGACTACAAAAAAAAAGAACAAAAGTGCTTGCAAAGTACACGGCCGAAGTACTTTTCAGTTACTTTCCTACATCAAACTTAATTTGACAAAAATGATAGTGTCTGATGTCTTACATTAATTTTGTTATCTTATCACTGCACACTGGTCTTTTGTTAGTCTCCAAGTTTCTACATTGTCTGAAGCTCAACCAAGTAAGCTCTTGTTCACTCAACAGCATTGTACATACCTGTATTAGACAAGCACACACTGAAAGTCTTGTCAAGTATAAGCACACTTAACTGTTGTGACACTGTTTTGAAAAAGGCTAAGTAACACAATGCATAAATCAGGATTTACCTATCCAAGAGATCCCCCACCAATAAGTGACAAAATATCACAGGGGGTCAAGTAAGCCCTTATCCCCCATTGGATAAACTGCTGGTATAGGGTGTATGTTTGTCTCAAAGTTACTTCCTGAGGAAGCAAAAAGTACATGTCCTTGCGGATGATTACCCTCTTTGATCACCACTTCCACTCTTAAAGTGCGGCAGCAACGAATTTTCTTGGAACCAATTTTTCTGCAATTTTATACCTTTCTCCAGTGTATGAAAATATTTGACATCCCTGTTTAGTCAAATGCATTGAAAAGTGCAATTTTGAAAACATTAAATGCTGCCCATGCTTTCCTGGACAACTGAGGGCGCCTTTGTTGTGATGTCATCTAGGGAAGACATTTGTGTGTGTGTGTGTGTTCAAATTGTGAACCCAAAATTAGCTCGATGAACACGTGAGAAAGGGTTGCATGTTCTGCATACTTAAATAGTGAATCACCCAAGAAAATAATGAGACTACCAAATCTAAAATGTTTAGCAGTTTTCTGAATACAGACCAATGCATTGTTGAAATTGTCTCCCTTGGATGACATCACAATTTAGAATATAGAAACCATTAGCATGAAAATAAAACGGCAGCAAAATACCTTTAAAATAGTGAAGCAAAAATTGAAAATAAGGTTAACTGAGATGTAAAAGGGAATTTTTGATTTTTTTTATGCATTGCAGCTACCCTTTAAATATAGATGGAGAGCTGAGAAAGGCCAAACGTATGAAAAAAGTATTTTAAGTCCAGAGTGGAGCTATCGTTCACGATTCAGTACTTTTGAAAACTTTCAATACGTACTTATTGAAAAACTGACTCTCGAGACTTGGTTTTGTAGTTGACGATACCTTTGTTTCAAAAGAATTTATTTTATGTAGTTGGACTGTTAATGTTTAGAGAGTACTTTGTATTTCTTGAAGATTTAGAAAAACTTGTTAATACTCGAGAAGTGTTGTAAATTATGTAATTTAAGTGGATTGTGTTTTTAAAAAATGCATTGCCACGGTATGACGGATTAAAAGGGTGTGGAGCGAAATAAGTTTTTGAAACTAACGAGCACAATATAAATTGGAGAATCAGATGTATATGTTTTGACAAAAATGTATGCACCAAATACATGACAAAGGTTTGGAGAAATATTGGATTGGCGTATATAGTATGCTTTATCTTGTGTTTTTTGTTGTCGCTTGATGCATTAACGAAGGCCACCTAAAATGGGAGTTTTAATTGACAAAATTGTTTATGTACGTTTACTTTCACACACAAGGACATTTCAGTGCTCAACACATACAGAACGCCGTTGATATCGGTGGTAGCCCTACATCGTCAGTTTTCTTCATTTCACCATTCTTTCTCATCGATCCATGCTATGATATCATACAGTTTGGTAGTTTCATCATTCGATGTGTCAATTTCGACATTCCATTCGCCAATTTCATTCATTCAACTCATTATTTTCGACGGTCCATCTGGCAATTTTACCATTTCATTTTACAGTGTCACCTTTCCATTCGGCAATCTTACTGTTCAATTCTGCTTTGCGCTATTCGATTTTGTAATTTCACTGTCCAGTGCGGCGATTTCGCTATTTCCCGCGTTCTCCGATTTCGCCATTCCGTTCTGCCTTGTGCGTAGATTAGTTTCATCTGCCAAATTCGACCCATTTCTTGAAAATAATTATATGTTTCTTTGGGCAAAAACAATTTTACTTGATATTAAGCTTAGTCATTGTACTCTGCAAACTTTTCGTTGCATTTTATAGAAATCATTCTATTCGACAAATTTCATCGTTTATGCAGCATCATGTGCTGCACAGACTCGGGCATTAATGCATTAAATGACATCATTACTAGCCAAAGTGTGTTACTCTCGTTTGACAAATTACTTGGTTACAATCATGGCTATGTTATAAGAAGAGTGGAAACCGAAGAATCACATAAGAATTCAAGAAACTGGGATTCTCGAAATCTGTTCTTTGTGGTATTTTGAAGCTTGAAAGGATGGCTACAACGAGGAACAAACATATCTTTACTTTAGACCTGTTACTAATAGATTTCTTTCAGGAGGGCATCGAGATGGGCACGATCAGGTTTTGATTCTTTCTCCAGGTGGCGTAAGAAAGCATAACATTTGGGTTACAGCAGGCAGCTACAAACCCCAGTCCTCTGCGGAAACCTGTAAAAAATATGAGATGGTTATAACGCAGTTTCGCTCCCATTCCGCCGTAATGTTACAACCCATGCTCAATCTTGCTGCTAAAAAGACATTATTTCCTCGGTCTACATTTTCGAAGCACTCTCTCCATTCAAGTAATTTTGCAAGTTAAAATCCTTACAAATTACGATAATTTCAAAAATTTTACAATACTTGCCTTTTCAACTAAATAGATCTGGCGTTTTGGTCTTGATCAGCGCATGGAGGAATAAGATCGCATTCAACCTGAGCGTTGATCGAAATCAAATGAAGGACAGAAGTACCCGCTAGCCATACTTGCTGTGTGCACACCAAATCTTCTTTTTTTGGGGGGGGGGGTAAAAAAAGAGGTTTTTATATAACCTGCGATAGCTTTCCTGAACGTCAAGGGTACATTTAACATTTTTGCACGCGTTTGGAAGGGAAACCCTGACGAGACAGGCTAAATCCGACTTCCGTTGATGTTTTTTTCCGTGAATTACTAATAATTGTCTCGAATTACTTATTCGTACTTTTCCCCAGGTAATACTGGAGCAAATTCCGTGTGAGTTGCGTATTTGTGCGACCGACCACGATAGGAGCAAATGAATGATTCGAGGGAACGAATTATTAGTCTTTTGGCTAAAGTATAGCTGCTATGATTTTTTTGCAGACACATTTTTCTTCAACTTTGTCTTCCTCTTCAATTTATGAAAACACTTTTACTTTCCTCGCATTGAAACGTGCGTGCTTTCCTAGACAGGTGAGGGCGCTGTTGCTGTGAAGTCATCCGGGGTTCAGTGCCATAGAGTTGGATATAATAGTGCACACGTGTTTCTTTTCAAATTGTGAACCCACAATTTACTAACTGAAAACATTTCTGAGTAGGTATTGATGCTCTCTTATTGCTATGCACATAAATAACAATGAATAAGCAAAAAAAAAAGTACAATGAGTCCACTCTACAAAAATGTAGGAATTTGTTCAACAAAGCGGGGGCTATACTGAGTATACAGAGTTCTAATACACGTCGGGCAGTATCCTGCAAGAAATGAGACCGAGGGGTACCCCCCCCACACACACACATCTAATTGCCATACACGCTCTAGACTATTGTTACCTAACACATCCGTCCCCCCAGATGTCTGAAAAGAAGTCCTCGTATTCCAGTGAAACAATGACAACACAAAGCGGGGGGTGTCTCTCCGTCTCATACCTTGCTGCATATGTCGGGTAGGGAAAAAAAATCCCAAATTCATTAACATCTCCCCTCTCAAATTGATCCTTGGAAAAACCAGTGACACTTCTTCCTGAGATGACATCACAGTTTTGTCATGAATATGGAAATTTATTAACATAAAAACCAAAAAGGATGTAATACCTTTGAAATAGTGAAACAAAAGTGGCAAATAAGGTTAACTGAGACAAAGGTGAATTTTGAAAGTTTGCATGAAAAAATTAATCAAAGCTACCCGTTAACAAAACAAGGCAAAAACAATTTCTCCTCCTTCTGTTTGCCCCTCCCATTGATCATGCTTTCGTGTAAAAAGAAGACTCACGTTCAAGGCAACGTAAACCTTTTTTGTTAATGAGAACTGGCGATGTGTCGTCAATGAGACATCATACCACCTCAAACGCGTTCTCGGTAATAATCATGCATGCACTGCACGTGTGCGTTACCTTAGATCAGGATCGATCGAGCTAGCTTTGAAGAAGGTCCGTTGACGTGACTGGCCCATGGTGCGCATTTGCTGAGATTTCACGGGCTCGAAATTCGTGCGGTTATTGGTATTAATGGTAAGAATTGAGAAACGATCGAATTGCCAGATGCTAGAGCAACTACATGTAACCCTAGAGGAAAAAAGAATGCTATTTCGGTGACAAAGAAATTAGTGCTTGCTTGCACTTGTACTTGCCCTCGTCAATGCTTTTCGTGGATAGCACAGAGCAGCAACTTGAGCAAGTCGCTTGCTCTGCCATAGAAACAGATATAGGCCTACCATCTGGCCAACAAGACTTTTAAGTCGTTCTTGTACTCTATCGGCAAAAAGTCTTTTATTTCAGATTTGCTGTGAAATTGTTTTGCTTGGAATTCTCAACTTCCTTGTGACTCAGTTCTTACTTGAATTTCCAGTTTATTTGTTGCCAATGAATTAGCTCTACCATGGCTCTACTGACACATTGACAGTGAGTGAAGAATTAGTAGGCCTAGGCCTACTTTTTTCAGTAGGCTCTATTCCTCTTTTTTGAATTTGAGAGTAACTATAGAATACAGGGCCACCCCCTAAAATCACTGGCTACGATGTCGTATTGGATGGGAGTGACTCTGGGAAGAAGTCCAAATTGTGTACTCGATTTGTGGCTACGCGGCTACAATGTCAAAAGAGTTCTTTTTTAGAACGAAGCAACACAATATGAATGGAGATGGTCGGGAAAACATCCAAGTCCAAACCGAGTGGCCCTGTCTTCCATAGATGTTCTGAATTGTGAAAATGTACTGGATCGGTCCAGTACAAAATTTGAAAAAAGGTATCCTAATGCTCCACTCAGTAGATTTACCTTACTAATGACCAAGAGTCCAAATTTAGCCTAGTTCATGTACCTGTACAATATTCAAACAGTCATGAACAGTAGGCCTACATGTACCTCCCCAGTTCAATATAGAGGACCTGCATATGACGTCACATTAGAGGGCATTTTTGTCTTCTCCAGGATAGGCTCGAGTAAACCTTTTGTGTATTCATTGTTATAAAATCAAAAAACAAAACACGTCCTCTGGGAGGGCACTCCATGCAGCTCTTGAAGTAGTAAATTTATATGCCTTTTGAAATTAATGTTTTATTCCGATAAAAAAGTAGGAAATTAAAAATGAGTGAACTGACCTGCAATGCTATAAAGTCCTCAAAAATATCGGCAGTCGTTAGAATTTAACTTAGCCTTTACGTAACGTACATGTACATGCAGGAATAGGAAAAGAAATAAGAAATTTGAATTTCTTTAGAAGACATGAACCCGAATTTTTTTCATTTAACATAGTGATCAGTGGATCTGCTGGATTGGTTCATGTACATGCCCATGTACATGCCCATGTACGTGTAGATCGCTGTGCGTCTGCCTGATCTCCCACAAATCCTCAATCCTTGCTCTGTCATCGGTCAATGTCTTTCAGGGCTGTGAAAGATTATTTGGAAAAAGAAAAGTTAATTTCCATCAGGATTGGCCAGTGTGCGACACAATTGACTAGTTATCCAGATCACCTGACACTGGTCCCAATGTACCTGTACATGATTTACATGATTAAGTCCAAGGTTGTAGGTTTCGGTTTTTGTTGTTTATGAATTTTGTGACAATTTCTGTACATCTCAGTTTGAACGTATTTTACATGTATGCATTTTGAATCTGCTTTCATATTATCAAAATAAAAACCATTTACATGTTGTAGCCTTTGCCCGGTTGTTTTGCAGATTTCAACCGTTAATTATTATTGACGTGCAACCAACATGTTCAGATGCAGTGGGACTGAAGAAGAGGTATGTTATTGGGAAATATTCTCTTGGTACACAAGGGTGCATCCTGGGGGGTGGGGATGGGGGGGACAGGTGCCCCCCCCTGAAAAAAAAGAAAAGAACTTTTGTATGTCACTGGCCTTTTGTTTTAGAAAACATGTAAACAGCCTCAAGATGTTGCCTCATTGTAAAGTTATTTTTTGACCTCCCAAACAGCAAGTTTGGCCCTCTGAAAATTTGTTCATCCACCCCTTTACAAGTAGCACATATTTAAGTGTTACATTTTGTTAGGGACTCTCCTCAATCCTCCAGAATCCTCAAATGTGGGGGGTGAAAAATTGGATTCCCCCCTCAATCCTTCAAAAATTTTTGGAAATGTTACTTGGTGTGCCTACTGCCTCAATCCTTCAAAATCCGCCGACAATTCTGGTCATTTTGTTGAGGCAGTGCGAATGGCATTCTTGAG